CGGATGCCGCCGTTCCGCCGGAAAACGCTGGTGCTGATTGGGGCGCAGGGCGTGGGGCGACGCAGCCTCAAGAACAAGCTCATCATGTCAGACCAGGCGCGTTACGGCACCACCATCCCCTGTGAGTGGCCCCTGGCCCTGCCGACAGTGTTCCCTGTCCCCCTGGCAGCACTGTCGCCGTGAGCATCGCTGAGCCCACTGACATCACCACCCCTCACCTGCTTCCCTGTCCCCTGCTGGCAACATCATTCATCACTCCCATGAGCATCACTGTCCTGTGTGAGCAACACCATCCTCGTGATCATCCCTGTCCCTTGGGAGCATCCCTGTCATCTGTGAGCATCCTTGTCACCTCTGACCATCCCTGCCTCCTGCCACCATCTGTCACCTGCAACCATCCTTGTCCCTCAGGACCATTCCTGTCCACTGCATCATCCCTGTCCCCTCCGACCATCCCTGTTGCTTTTGAGCATTCCTGTTCCCTACCAGTAGCGTCATTCCCATGAGCATCACAGTCCCCCATGAGCATCCCTGTCCCTTGTGATCATCCCTGTCCCCCTCCAGCATCCCTGTCTCTTGTGACCATCCCTGTCGTCCATGACCATCCCTGTCCCAACTCTGCCAGCATATCTGTCTTCTGGGGACATCCCTGTCCCTTGTGAGCACCCCTGTCCCCCTCCAGCATCCCTGTCCCCCATGACCATCCCTGTCCCTTGTGAACATCCCTGTTCTCTGCGACCATCGCCGTCCCCTGCCATCATTCCCACACCCTGTAAGCACCCCTGGGATGGGACTCCGGGTGTGTGGGTGTCACTCAGGTGGGTTCCCACCACTGGCAGACACGTCTCGGAAGCCAAAGGAGAGCGAGCGGGATGGGCAGGGGTATCGCTTCGTGTCCCGGGGGGAGATGGAGGCCGACATCAAGGCTGGGAGGTACCTAGAGCATGGCGAGTATGAGGGAAACCTGTACGGAACCAGGATCGACTCCATCCGAGCTGTGGTGGAGGCTGGCAAGATGTGCATTCTGGATGTCAACCCCCAGGTAGGAGACACAGGGAGGGGGACAGTGACTGTTGTTACCCAACAAATTGTATTTCTTTAAAGAACAACCTGTGCAGCCATGGGCAAGAATTGTTGAGGGGAGATTTAATCAGTGGAATAGATAATGGATGATGGGCAAGCTCTGGGTGATGTCTGTATGTTGGAAGAAAAAATGGAAGGTTTAGGGCCTGACATGGCTCAGTGCTCTTAGAGCTGGGAGAGGAATTTAGTGTTGACATCAAATGCAGCATTTATATAAACCACAAAGATGCAGAAACGAGAGGTGAAGAAGAAACAAACACAGACAATTTCCCAGAGACTTTCCCTCTCCAGGAAAATATCATAAAAGATTGAAAATGTGGATTGATTAGCGTGAGAAATGAGAAATCAATAACCAATAGAAGATAGAATAATAATTAATGAAGAGAACTACTTAAGCCAATTAACACTAATTCCTTTGTTTGCTAAAATGTATAAATACTTAAAAGTTTTGATAACTGATGTACAGGTTTTGTGGAGCCATGCCCATACACCTCAATGCCAGATAAACTCTCTAACCTGATAAACTGGGTTAGAGGGTTTATTTCCCAGGATTTTGGTGACTTTGTCCCCTCCCACCCAGGCAGTGAAAGTGCTGAGAACAGCTGAGTTTGTGCCATATGTGGTGTTCATCGAAGCCCCCTGCCCTGAGACCCTGCGGGCCATGAACCGAGCAGCCTTGGAGAGCGGCGTGGCCACCAAACAGCTCACGGTGAGTGTCCTGGGGGACACCAAACAGCTCATGGTGAGTGTCCTGGGGGCCTGAGGGAAGGGGAAACTGAGGCAGGGCTATGGGGGAGCTGAAGACGAATAGTAGGTGTCCCCTTGCCACCTTGGGGGGCAGTGGGGAAACTGAGGCAGGTTTTGGGGGGCTGAAGGTGGGTGGTAGGTGTTCCTCTGACAGCCCTGGGAGGTGATGGGGAAACTGAGGCAGTTTTGGGGTGCAGAAGGCAGATACTTAACAGACAGTGGGCGTCTCCAGTGTCCCTGGGGGGCGATGGGGATACTGAGGCAGTTGTGGGGTTCAGGACGCGGATGCCCAGCGGACTGTGGAGGAGAGCAGCCGGATCCAGCGTGGGTACGGGCACTACTTCGACCTGAGCCTGATCAACGATGACCTGGAGCGAACCTTCCTGAGGCTCCGGGAGGCCATGGATCACCTGCGTGTCCAGCCCCAGTGGGTGCCTGTCACCTGGGTCTACTAGTGACCCTCCCTGCCCCCACGGGAGAGGGCCACAAAACCCTCCCCTCTTCCCCCCCAGCCCACCCAGGAGGGCTGTGGGGGTGGAGGGGGGTTGTGCCTCACCCACTGGTGTGATGAGCTTGTGCTCCGCACCGTGGGGTTGTGTGGTTGGGGGCTCTCTATAGAGCCCCCCCAACTCAAGCCTGACTCTTCTCTCCCCCCTGCCCAGCCCCAGATTTTGGGGAGGGGCAGAATCAGACAGTGAGGACCCATGGGGGGGCACAGCCCCCGCCACCATGCCCAGCACCCACACAGCTAATTCACTGCCAAAACCTCACCTCCTCCCCAAATTACCCCAGGGGGTTGTGCCACCCCCAACTGGGGGACATGGGGAGGACAGCGATCCCCCCACTCTTCATACTCCCCTGCTTCAGTTTCCCCATGGGGAAGCCCACCCTGTCCCAGTTTGGGATCCTCTGGGATTGGGGTCGGGGGGGCTGTGGGATTTTGGGGAGGGGGGGTTACACCCAGGTGGAGTCTTAGAAGCTGCTGTGGTTTCAGGTGTCCTGACCCACCCCTGCACCCCCACAGGCCACAACCCCCCTGTGGGGCCCCCTCTTTCCTTTACCAGGGTGGGGGTTCCCTCATTGTCCCTTGTGGCCTCCCTCCCCAGGTAGCAATAACCCCTTCCTCCCCCCTCCCCGCTTGGGTTCCACCCTTTAATTAACCTCGGCGGGGGGACTGTGGCTCGAGGCTTGCCGGGGGTGTCTGGGGCTGGGGGTGGTGACATGGGGTGACCCCAAGGGACAAGGACATGGGTAGTGCAGGGTGTACCCCCGTGTCCCTCCTGTCTCATGTCCTCCTGCCCTGCCCCCTCGCACCGTGCCCCCCATCCTTGTCCCCCTGTTACTCCTTTTTGGTACTTTGCTGTGGATTTTATTAAAGGCGAGAAAAATGGTGGTTTTGTTCCTCATGGTGAATTGGGGGGGGGGGGTAAAGGAAGACCCCCAGGGGACACTCGGTGTCACCTGCCCCTTTCCCACCTGTTGGTGATGGGTTTTAATCTGCGAATCCACATTGTGCACCAGTTTGGGGCTGAGGTGGGAGGTGTGTGTACACACGTGTGTGCACATAAGTGTGTTTGCACGTGTGTGTGTACATGTGTGCACACATTATATTTGGGTTTTGGTGGCTGTGGGTGCTGGGGGGGTTTGGTTGGGATGGGGAGGGTTTGATTGGGTGTGAGGTGTGTGCATGGGGTGTACATGTATGTTCACACATTTGTGCACGTGTGTGTTCATGTGTGTGTACATGTATGTGTACATGTGTGCACATGTTCTGTTTGGGGTTTGGTGGCTGTGGGTGTATGGTGTGTCCCGTTTGGGGGGAGGGTTGTTGAGGGGATGGGGGTGTGTGTGCATGGGGTGTACATGCCGTGTACATATGTGTGTGTCATGGTGCACACACAGGCCCTTCCTTAATTCTGCCAGGAGAGGTCAGCAGAACTGCAGGCACAGGGGAAGGGGAAAGGGTGGGTGGGGAGGGTTGTGTGTGGGCGAGTGTGTGTGTGTTTGCATAGATGTGTGCGTATGCATGGGTGTGTTTGCACAGGAGTGTGTGCATGGGTGTACATGTGTATGCACATACATGTGCATGTGTCCACATGCATGTTTGCACAGGGGGTGTGTACATGTGTGTTTGCACAGGGTCAGTGTGTGTATGGGTGCACTTGTGTGCACATACATGTGGGTGCGTGTGTGTTTGAATGGGAGTGTGTGTATGGGTGCACGTGCGTGCACCGACGTTTGTGTGCACATGTGTAATTTGAACAGACTTGTGTGCACGTGTCAGCCCGTGTCTGTACATATGTGTATTTACTTGGGTGTGTGTGCACAGGAGCAACTGTGTGTGTGTGCACATATGTGTTTGCACGGACATGCGTGTGTGTGTGTGTGTGTGTCAGCCCATGTGTGTGTCCTCATTGCTCTCACAGGTGTGGAGGGGGTGTGTGTTCCCTTACACAAGTGTGGATGTGCACATCGGTGCACAGCTGCCTGTATGCACACACGTGTGTGTGTGTGTGCAGTGTGCAACACACCAGTGCCCCACACGCCTGTGACCCACGCACATGTGTGTGCATCTCCCACGGGGAACCATTGGGTGCTATAAGGAGTTATAAGGTGTCATGGAGTGTCATGGGGTGACATAAGGAGCCATAGGGTACCACAGGGTGCCATGGGGTGTCAGGGCATGGGGTGACATAAGGAGCCATAGGGTGCCACAGGGTCCCATAGGGAGCCATGGGATACCATGGCCAAGGGAGCTGTGGCCATAGGGCACCATAGGGTCCCACAGGGAGCTGTGGCCATAGGGTGCCATTGGGTCCCACAGGAAGCCATAGAATGCCTTGACCTTATTGGTACCATAGGGTGCCATGGGGTGCCCCAGCCACGGGGTACCATAGGATGCCATGGCCGTGAGATGCCATAGGGTGCCATAGGGTCCCACAGGAAGCTGTGGCCATAGCGTGCCATAGGTTGCCGTGGCTATAAGATGCCCTTTTCATAGGGGGTGTGTGCGGGAGCTCGTGTGTCTTTAAGCAGGGGTGTCTGTAAGCCTGTCCATAATCCCCTTTGTCCATAAGCTGCTGTGTCTATAAGTGTCAGGGCCGAACGTGCGGGGCTGTAGCATGTCCCTGGTGTGTCTATACCTGTGCATCCCATCTGTGGTGACAGCCATGTGGCCTACGCTGCTGCTGCTGGTGGCCCTGGGTGTGCTGGCTCTGGGGCGGGTGGCCCACAAGCTGCTGGCCCCGTCCGGCAACCCCTTCGCTGGACCACCCCTGGAGCCCCCCCGGCCGCTGGTGACGGACCAACGTGCCCGGGACAGGGTCCTGAAGCGGGGTGAGTGCTGGGTGTCTGTCGTGTGTCCCTCTGTCTGTGTTCATCTGTCCCATGGAATGCTGTGTGTGCTGCCCATTACGTGCCCTCTTGTTGCCTGTTGCACGCGTGTGCACAGGGTGCCTAGGGATGGTTACTGGCAGGAGCTGAGTGTGTGCACAGGGCTCAGTGCCGGGTGGGGATAGTGGACAGAGGCTGAGCTCGTGTGTGGGCACAGGGTTCAGTGCCCAGCAGTGGCCATGGGCAGGGGCTCATCAAGCACTTGTGCCCAGGGTTCAACACCCGGCAGGTGCAAAAGAGGCTGCATGTGGTTCCTGTGGGCAGTGGTTGATCACGTCTGCAGGGCTCGGTGCCCTGTAAGTGCCAGAGTGGCTGGACACAGGCATCGCAGAGTCGCTACGGGGTCACTGTCAGGTGTACTGTACCTGCAGAGGGTTCAGGGTGTCTGATGGTGATCACAGGCAGGGGCTGATCACATGTGTGTGCCCGGGATTCAGCATCCAGCAAGTGCCAGAGCAGCTGAACATAGTGGCCACGGGCAGTGGTTAGTCACACACGTGTGCCCAGGGTTCAGTGCCCAGTGGTGGCCATGGGCAGTGGTTAATCACACACTGTGCGCCCAGCATTCAGTGCCCAGTGGTGGCTGTGGGCAGTGGTTAATCCCATGCCTGTGCCCAGGGTTCAGCCCCCAGCGGGTGCCGGAGCAGCTGGACGCCGTGGTCATCGGCAGTGGCGTGGGGGGGCTGGCAGTGGCTGCCACGCTGGCCAAGGTGGGCCAGCGAGTGCTGGTGCTAGAGCAGCATGACCAGGCCGGCGGGTGCTGCCACACCTTCCAGAAGCACGGCATCGAGTTTGATGTTGGTAAGGACCCCCAAGCCCCTGACACTCCCCAAGCCCCCTGGCATCACCTGGCACTGCTGCTGCCCCCACAGTGTCTGTGTGTCTGCCTGAGTGGGCAGGGGCATGTGAACACATGTGTGCAGTGCACGTGTGCACTGTCTGCATACAACACACGTGCTTTTGGTATGTAGTGTGTGTGCGCGCATTGTGTGTGCTGTGCATGTGTGCTGTGTCCATGTCATTTGCGTGTTCGTGCTGTGTCCATGCTGTGACCGTGCCATGTGTATGTCATGTGTGCTCTGTGTCCATGCCATGCGCTTGCTGTGCCTGTGCCGTGTGCATACCATGTTGTGCTTGTGTCTTACCCATACCATGTGCATGCCATGTCCATGTCATGTGCTTGGTATATCTCTGCCATGTGCGTTCCATAACGGTGCCGTGTCTGTGCCATGTCCATGCTGTGTCTGTGCTGTATCCATGCCATGTGCTTGTCATGTCTATGCCATGTGTGTTCCATAACCATGCCATGTCTGTTCTGTGTCCATGCCATATCTATGCCATGCCAGCAGCCCATCCCACCCCCCACCCTCAGTGTGACCCACAACAGGCAAAAGCCAAACCCTTCCCTCCCCTATTGCCCCCCAGCTGCTCCCACCACATGTCCATGTGACCCCCTCAGTGTCCCCCCACCGTGTCCCCTGCAGGCATCCACTACGTGGGGCAGCTGCATGAGGGCAGCCTCCTGCGCGTGGCACTGGACCAGCTGACGGATGGGCAGCTCTGCTGGCAGCGCCTGCCTGACCCCTATGACGAGGTGACCCTAGGACCCCGACGCTACCAGCTGCGCGCCGGCAAGGTGGCCTTTGTCACTGCACTGGAGGAGCAGTTCCCCACAGAGAAGACAGCCATCAGGGAGTTCATGAAGATCTCCAAGGTGGGGACATGCCACCCCCATGAGGAGGTGACCACAGGGTCAGGGAGGGGTGGTGGTGTCACTCTGACGGGGAGTGATCAGCCTGGGATATGGGGGTGGGTGTGGTGGTGGCACCAATGGATCTGGTGGGGACATGGATGATGGCGGGGAAGGGGCTATGGCAATGGTGGGTACTAGGGTAATGGGTGTGGAGGGGACAAAAGTGATAGGAATGGTGGGTACAAGAGTGGTGGGCACGGAGAGGACACAGGTGATGGTTGTGGTGGGGATGTGTGGTGGGTGCAGAGGGGACACAAGTAATGGGCATATTGGGGACACAGGAGCTGGCTGTGGTGGGGGGAAGTCCTGGGGATGGTGAGGAGATGGGTGTTAGGCGTGGTGGGGACAGGTGCTGAGCCACAGGTGGTGGTCCGGGGTTATGACAGTGACAGTCCTCATGACAAGGTGGTGGTCAGGCAAGGAAGTGTTGGTGGTGACAGTGGCCTAGCTTGGTGTCCCACATGTAGTCTTGGGCATGTGGCACCATTGGTGGTGCTGAATCTGGTCCTGCAGTGGCAGTGGTGACATGGGGTGGTGGCGGTGGTGGGGGTGATTTGGAATGGTGTCGGTGGTGACACAGGTTGTGGTCTGGCAACACATGGCACTCCTGACCATGCTGAAGCTGATCCCAGGATGGTGCTGGTGGCAGGGTGGGGTGGTGGCAGTGGTGACAGTGATATAGCACAATGTCCCCCAGGTGGCCTCACGTCACGTGGCACTATTGGCTGTGCTGAAACTGGCGCCACACTGGGTGGCTGCCCTCCTGCTCCGCTCCGGCCTCCTGTCCCTCCTGTCCCCTGTGTTCCGCCTGGCCACCACCAGCCACAGCCAGGCTGTGGCCCGGCTCACCTCCGACCCCGACCTGCGCGCCCTCCTCGGCTACCTCTTCTATGGTCAGGGGCTGTCGTGATAGGGAGGGGTCTGTCACGATAGGGAGGGCCCCGTGTGGAGAAGGACAGTAGTGTCATGGTAGGGGAGGCCACTACTGTGATAGGGAGGTGCTCTGTTGTGATGGGGAGGGCTGTGTCACGGGGGAAGGGCTGTGTCGTGATATGGGAGGGCCATGTTTTGCTAGGGGAGGGCTGTGTTGTGATAGAGGAAGGCTGTATTGTGATGGAGGATGTGTTGTGTTGGGGGAGGGCAGCATCACTATGGGGGGGGCTGTATCGTGATAGGGGAGGGATATATTATAATGAGGAGGACCTTATGATAGGGAAGGGCTGTCTCATGATGGGAAGAGGGGCCATGTCTTGATAGGGGAAGGCTGTATCATGATAGAGAGCTGTACTGTGATAAGGAGAACCTTGTCATGATAGGGAAGGGCATATCATGATATGGTAGTGCTGCCCCACACTGGGGCCGGGTCCAGCTGTGCCCATCTCCCCCTTGCTCCCTCCGCAGGCACGGCCCCGCGGGACTCCAGCTTTCTGGCCAACGTGCTGATGGTTCATCACTACCAACGGGGGGCCTGGTACCCGCGGGGGGGGGCCAGCGAGATCGCCTTCCACATCGTACCCGTCATCGAGAGCGCGGGGGGCGCCGTGCTGGTGCGCGCCCCCGTCACACGCGTCCTCGTCAGCCCCGCCGGCACCGCCCTGGGTGAGCGCCCGACTCCCAGCCCCGCCCCGGGGGGGATCACATGTGTGTGATGGTGACGGGGTGGCAGTGCCCCGCGCCCCCTGACTCCTCACACCCCGGCCTCCAGGGGTGGCGGTGCGGACAGGGTCAGGTGAGGAGGAGCTGGAAATCCGCGCGCCCCTCGTCATCTCCGACGCTGGGATCTTCAACACCTTCGGCAAACTGCTGCCCCCCCAGATCCGCAGCCACCCCGGTAACGTCGTCCTGTGTCCCCAGTGTCCCCATGTCCCTGGTGTCCTCAGTGTTCCCAGCATCCCCGTGTCCGCAGCATCCCCGTGTCTGCAGCATCTCCGTGTCTGCAGCATCCCCGTGTCCCCAGCATCACCAGTGTCCCCAGCATCGCTGTGTTCCCATGTCCTCAGCATCTCCATGTCTCTGCTGTCCTTAGTGTCCTCAGTATCCATGTGTTCTCAGTATGCCTAGTGTCCTCAGCATCTCCATGTCCCTGGTGTCCCCAGTGTCCTCAGCATCACTGGTATCACCAGGGTTGCTCAGCATCCCTGGTGTCTTTGGTGTCCCTGCCATCACCAGTGTCGTCAGCATCTCCAGCATCCTTAGCATCCCTGATGTCCTCAGCACCTTTGCATCCTCATGTCCCTAGTGTCCTCTGTGTCCGCAGCATCCCTGTGTCTGTATGTCCCCAGTGTCCCTGGCATCCCCAGAACCTCCATGTTCCTGGCAACCTCATGTCCCCCGTGCAAGTGGGGTTGGGGTGTCACCCCCATGTCCCCGCAGGTGTTCTCTCCCGCCTGGCCATGGTGCGGCCGAGCATGGGCTCCTTCCTGGTGTTCGTGGGGCTGCGGGGCAGTGCAGCCGAGCTGGGCCTGCCCCCCACCAACTTCTGGCTCTACCCCCACAACGACCTGGACACCATGTGAGGGGTCCTGGCACCCTGTGGTGGGCACAGGGGGCAGGGGGGGCATGGCGGGTGGATGGGTACAGGGTGGGTGCATGAGGGGTGCCTGGGGGTGCACAGTGGGGAGGGTGGGTGCAGGGCTGTGTACAGTGAGGGGGTGGGTGCATGGAGGAAGTGTGGGGTCTGCACTGTGGGTGGGTGCACAGGGGGTGCACAGGGAGTGCCCTGTGTATGGGTGGGTGGGTGGGTGGGTAGGTATGTGGTGGGTGGGTAGGAGCGCAGGGGGTTCATGGTGGGCACACTGTGGGTGGGTGTACAGTGGGTGCACAGTGGGTACATGGTGGGTGGGTGGGCGCACAGAGGGTGCACAGTGGGCACATCATACCCCTCTCTGCCCGCAGGATGACCCACTACGCTGCCCTGAACCGTGATGATGTCCCTGAAAACCTGGCCATGATGTTCATCACCTTCCCCGCTGCCAAGGACCCCACCTATGAGCAGCGGCACCCAGGTACATCACTGGGGACCCCTTGGATACTCCCCAGCTCTGCACCCCCAATCTGCTCAGCTTTGAGGGGTCAGAGGCTCCTCAATGCTGCCAGCACAGGGTGGGCACTGCCACTGTCACCATGGCTCAGGCTGGCACCACCCCTGGGATCCCATGGTGGCACAGGGGGTGTCACCAGCTGTCCCCACCCCCAGGCCGGTCGTGCATGACCATCCTGACCATGGCACGGTACGAGTGGTTCGAGGAGTGGGCCGGGAGCCTCCCCAGGCACCGTGGTCCCAACTACGAGCAGTACAAGATGTCCATTGCCCAGCAGCTGCTGGAGAGGGCCCTGCTCCGCTTCCCCCACCTGAGGGACAAGGTGACCCCACTGAAGGCCCTGCCATGCATTGGGGTGCTCAGAGAGGAGGGGGCAGGATGGGTACAGAGTGATCTCCAGTGTGAGGGAATGTAGGGATGGAGCGTCCTGGTATGTTGTGGAGTTGGGGTGCCCTGTGGGGTTGGGGTGCCCCTTTGAATTTGGAGTCTTCCACAGGGATGGGAAAACACAGTGGAAATGGGGTGCACAGTGGGGACTGGGTGCCCTGTGTGGGTGGGATGCCCTATGAGAATGGGGTGGTCTGTAGGATGGGTTGGGGTGTCCCACAGGGATGGGGTGCCCCATGGGTATGGGTGCAGAGTGGAGATGGGCTGCCCAAGTGGGATGAGATGCCCTGTGGGATGGATGTGGGATGAGATGCCCAGGTGGGATGGGTGCCCAGGCAAGATGGAGTGCCCTGTGGGAAGAGCATGTCCTGCAGGGATGTGCTTGGTGATGAGAGGATACCCTTTGGAACTGGGATACCAAAAGGGAATGTGCCCAATAGGACAGAGTGCCTGTGGGTTTGGGGTGCCCAGTGAGGACAGGGTGCCCTGCAATGCCATCCCCCCACCCCAGCACCTTTGCACAGGGTGGGCTCGGACCTGTTGTGATGGGATCTGTGGTGGGGTAGGATGGGTTTACCCATGCCCACAGTGCCCCCCAACATGCCTCAAACACCCTGTGCCCGGGCAGGTGGAGTTCGTGGAGGCAGCTTCACCGCTCACCAACCAGCACTACCTGGCGGCCCCGCATGGGGCAATGTACGGCGCTGAGCACAACCTGGAACGCTTCTGTCCTGCTGTGATGGCCACCCTGAGAGCTGACACCCCTGTGAGGAACCTCTACCTGACAGGTGAGGGAGGAGTGTCCCCATGTCCCCCTGTCCTGCTGTCCCCATGACCAGCTCCAGGCTGTGGATGGTGTCCCCAGGGGCTCCCTGCAGTGAGGGGTGTCTGGATTCACCATGGGTGGCTGTTTGCCCTGAGGGTGACCATGTCCCCCATGGTGGTGACCCTGTCCCCAAGAGGTGGCCATATTCTCCTTGAGGGTGGCCATATCCTCCATGATGGTGGCCATGTCCCCCCCCTGGAGTGTCCGTGTCCCACGGTGGCCTGTCCCCAGGGCAGGATGTGTTCTCCTGCGGGCTGGCGGGGGCCGTGCATGGGGGGCTGCTCTGCGCCTCGGCTGTCCTGGGACGCCTGCTTTACCTGGACCTGCTGCTCCTCAAGAGGAAGATCAAGCGGTGCCAGGACCGGCATACGGCGTGAAGGGGATACCGGCTGTGGGGACAATGGATGCGGGGATACCTGTCCTAGGGAATGGCCCTGGGTTGGCAGCTTGCTCCCAGCTCAGTAAACCCTTGATGTCCCACTGGCCTGTGCCTGTCTCTGGGAATGGGGTTGGGAATGGGATAGAATAGACATGGGGATGGAGATGGGATGGGGATGGAAAAGGATGGAGATGGGGATGGATTCGGGATGAGGACAGAAACGGGGTGGGATGGCATGGAAATGGGGATGGGATGGGGACTGGAATAGGGATGGAATGGAATGTAGAGGGGGCTGGGGGTAAAGATAGGGATGGAATGGGAATGGGATGGAGACAGGAATGGGGATGGGAACAGGATAGGATGGAGATGGGGATGGGATGAAGACAGGAGTGAGATGGGATAGAGATAGGGATGGGCACAGGAAGGGGATGGGATGGAGCTGGAAATGGGATACGGATGGGGAATAGGGATGGGAAGGGGATGGGACAGGGATGGAGAGGGGAATGGGATTAGGATGGAGACAGGGATGGACAAAGGGATGGGGACAAGGAGCCCTTCAGCTGGAGGTGAATGGAGGGTGCAGAATCCCCCTTAAACTTCCTCCCTTGTCTGTACCTCCTGAGCCTCCCCAGCCCCGCATACCAGCACAGCCGGGAATTCTTTTACATTTTAAATATAATAAATAGAGGAACCACAATGAGATGGTTTAGGGTGGGGAGGGACACAGACGTGGGGGGGGCATGGACCCAGGCATCCAGATGCCCCAAAGGGTCTATGTCTCCCCCCTCCCCCTGCCCAGTGAAGGGGAGCGTTGTCACCACGTTGTCCTTGAGGAAGGGGGGTCACCCCTAGGTCTGGGTGGCGAAGGGGAGCTGGGGTCTGGGGTCATGGCCACATTCGGGGCATGGCCCTGGTGGCAGCGGGTACAGGAAGGGCTTCGCTGTCACCTAAGGGTGAGGGGGCTCAGTGTGGGGAGATGTGGGGCACCCCCATGGCTTCCAGGGGCCCAAGGGAAGAAGGGTGTCCTCCTTGGGGGGCAAGGCAGGGTGTGTGGGAGCAAGGGGGATGCCCTGGTATGGGGAGGGGGTTGGGGATCCCACACATGTCCTGCTGAACCCCATAGGCCACCCACCACCCCATATGCCACACCCACCACCTCATATCCCATTACCTACCACCTCATGTCCTACCATTTATCACACCGTTGTCCAATCACCCACCACCCCATATCCCAGCACCCACCACCCCATATCCCCAGGACCCACCACCCCATATCCCCAGGACCCACCACCCCATATCCCAGCACCCACCACCCCATATCCCCAACACCCACCACCCCATAACCTCAGCACCCACCACCCCATATCCCCAGGACCCATCACCCCATATCCCAGCACCCACCACCCTACAGCCCACCTCAACTCCCACTCTGGGCTCAGCCCAGCACCCTGACCCACCTCGCTGTAGGGTGGGGGCTCCAGCCCCACTGGGATGGCCCCACTGGGTAGACTGGGGAGTGTGGGCATCGGTGCCAGTGGGGGGGCCACAGTGCCCTGGGGCTCTCCATCAGATGGGAGGGGCATGGGGCCCTGGGGCATCCTGTAGGCCAGGGGAGGCACAGGGTCCTGGCAGAACTTGTAACAGAGGTGGAAGGTGAGGAGGAGGAAGGCGATGGCTATGAGGGCGATGGCGATGATGAAGAGCATAGTCCTGGGGACACCAAGAGGTGTGTGCTGGGGGTTGGCACATCCCCACTCCTTGGCACTCTGGGCTGTCTGCCCACCCCAGCCCTGTCCCCACACCCACAGGACTCAGGGGGTCTCTCCATCTCCCCATCCCACAGCCCCCATCCCCATGGGCTCCTCCCAGGCATGGCACCCCCTGCGAGGTTCCCATGACTTCCGTGCCCCCCTGGCCCCCCACCAACGAACCAGGTGTCCCCCAGCCCTGCCGTGTCACTTCCGTGTCAGAGACGCCCTCTGGACCTGGGTGCACCCTACTCCCTGTGCCCAGAATCCCACACCCGGTGCCCTTTGCACCCTCCCTGTCCCACTGTGGACCTTGACCTGGGTGGAAGCTCGGGGTGCACCCCCGTGGTGGGGCAGGACCATGCCAAGGGGTGCTGGCACTCTGCTGAGAAGAGGAGCTCCCATACTGGGGAGGGGATGAGGGGATGCCCAGGGTGGCACAGAGGGTGCCCAGGGTGATAGGAGCTGCTCAGGGTGAGAGGGTGTGCTTGGGGTGGTAGATGGCGTAGGTGGCCGGGGTGACACAGGGGGTGTTCAGGGTGGCAGATGGGGTGCCAGGGTGACAGTGGATGCCCAGAATGGTGCTCAGGGTGATGGTACAGTGGGTACTCAGGGTGACACAGAGGTTGCTCGGAGTGACAAGGGGATGCTCAAGGTGACAAAACGGGTGCTTGAGGTGACACAGGGGACCCCCAGGTTGGCACAGGGGGGGCCTGCATGTCCTGGGGTTGTGCCCTGCTGCCTGGGCCAAGGTGAGGATGAGGAGGAGGCAGCGAGGCCAAAGGAACAGGATCCCCCCACAGGTGTGAAGAGCTGTCGAGCTGCCGGCTCAGCACCATAAGCTCCCAAATCCGATCAGCTCCCTGAGCCCTGTGCTGGGCTGAGCCGGGCGGTGACACAGGGGGTGCCCCACACTGTGCCCCCTGGCACTGTGGTGGCATCGGTGAGCAGGTGAGTGGCCCAAGGGCAGCTGGGGAGGTGGTGGAAGAGGGAATGTGAGTGGAGGGACAAGGGGACAGTTTGGGAGAGGGGGTTTGAAGAAATGGAGCGTTGGAGGGGGGGATGAGCTGTGGGGCGTCCTAAGCAGGATCATCTCCCTAAGGGGTTTAGGGCTGCCAGGGGCACGGAGGCTTTGCCACAGGGGTCACAGGCAGCTCCAGCCCCATAATTAGCTCAAGGGTTTAATGAAAGATTTGCCACCACGTGTCTTCCCATGCCCTGGTGGGGATCCCCCAAAATCAGCCCCTTGCTCAGGCAGAGCCCCCCAACCAGATGAGCCCCCCCATCCTGGCTACACTGAGATTGTCAGTCTCTGCTGCTGGACATGGGGCTCCTTCACCCCCTCGGGGCCGGGTATTGCCCCCTGAGCCCAGCCCGAGGTGCTGGATGGGTGAGTGGGTGCCACCCCAGGGGATGAGGGGGGTGGTGCCCAGGGCTTTTTTTGGGCTCCTAATTACACACCAGCCTCGGGAAGAGTGGAATTAAATCCCAGCTGGAGGCACAAACATCCACGTAGCCAGGTGGGTTCCGGAGGCCAAACCAGGCGGACTTGCGGGCACCGGTACGGGGGGTGCACACGCATGTACACACATGTACACACATGCACACACAAGCACATGCGTCCCCTGGCATACGGAGCCCTGTGAAAATCTCCCTGTGCCTGCAGGGCACCGAGGTGCCGACCCTGTGCCCGCTGCCAAGGCTGCCACGGTGCCACCGGCTCCGGTGCGGGGACAAGCGCCATCCCCAGTCGTGTCCCTAAGTGACCCCGTCTCGCCTGCTGCCCGTTTCCCAGTCCAGGGTGGCGCCACGGGAGGGGACACATGGGACAGCCGGGCACCGGTGCTACCCTGGCAGGGCCACGCCAGGGACACGCCGCTGTCGCTGCCAAACTCTTGTCGTGGCAGGAGACAGGGAGGACCCCGGGCCCTCCCGCGCTCCCCCCGCTCGCTTTGGGCTGCCTTGGCGGCGCTGGCAGACACGCGGTTGCGTAAGTGGCTGTGACGGTCGTCCCCCCGCCTCCCCCGCCCCCCAAAAACGTGAGAACCAGCTGCGGCCGTGGCGGGAGCCCCGTGGCAGGGCAGGGACGGGACCCCGCAGGCATTCCCGACGTTCCTCAGTTTTCCCTGGGAGGGCAGGGGGCCGGGATGCCCCGTGTGGGATGAATGTGCCCAGCCGTGTGTCCCTGTCCCCTCCCCGGGGCCGCTCAGGCCATCGGGGTGCACACACGCGCTGTGCTCGCTGCCCTGTGCACACACACGTGTGCAAGCATGTAACAAACATGTACAAACGTGCACGAGTGTGCACAAGTGTGCACGGTCACACATATGACCGAGGTCCCCGAGCGGACTCAGCCGCCGCTCCCTGGGCACTGGGACGCCGCAGAGGGGATACCTCTTGTCCCCCTGTCCCTATCCCCCCACCCCGTCCAGGCCACCGTTTCCCGAACCCCTCCCCTCCCCCGCCTGGCCCCGCGCCCCCCTTCCCCACCACGGCCCCTCTTCCCTCCCTCGGCCCAACCTTTTCCCTTCCAGCTCCCTGTTTGAAGCTATTTTTTCCACAGCTCCTGCCAAGAGCCGCTAATGAGAAACAAACGGGCTCCTCGGCCGCGGCTGCTCCCGGCCCACACACCTCCGGCTGCATGGATGGGGCAGCACCTCCCGGTGCACTCCTGGCACCGTCCTCCCGCGGGCATCGCCGACCCTCCTGGCAGCAGCCCTGGGCACCTGCTTCCTCCCCATCTGGCACCAGCCCGGGGCATCTCTGTCCTCCCTGTCCAGCACCATCTCTGGCCATCTCCATCCTGCTCACACCACCATCACTGAGTATCTCTATCGTGTCCATGTGCTACTATCCCAGACATCTCCATCCCCCCATCCAGCACCATTCCTGGAAATCTCCATTCTCCCTCCATCCAGTATTGTCCCAGGGCATCTCCGTGCTGTCCATGAACCACTGATCGTGGACATCTAATTTGCACCCATCTGTCACCATCCCTGGGCATAAACAACCTCCCCATCCAGCACCATCTCAGGGTATCGCCATCCTGCCCATGTGCCATCGTCCCTTGGCGTCTCCATGCTGCTCACGTACCACTAACCCTGGACAACTCCATTCGTCCCATTCTTCACTGTCCCTGGGCTTCGCCATCCTCTGCCTCCAGCACCACCCCCAGGCATCCCCATCCTGCCCATGTGCCACCATCCCTAGGCATCTCCATCCTCCCCATGAAGCACCACCCATGGGCATCTCTGTGCTGTCCATACACCACTGTCCCTGGGTATCTCTGTGAGGCCCAAGTGCCACCATCCCTGGGCATCTCCATCCTCTCCATCCAGCACCATCCCCAGGCATCCCCATCCTGCCCATGTGCCACCATCCTGGGGCTCTCCATCCCGCTGTAGGACAGAGCTGGGCCAAGGACAGGTCCCACTGTGTGTCCCCTCTTCCCCCGTGTCCCTCCTGTGGTGCCGCAGCTAGAGTCGGGTGCCAGAGCAGTGTGGGATTGATGCCGGAGGTGGGAGGGAATGAGGCGGGAGGGAGTCCTGAGCTGTCCCCCCTGCCGGGTCCCCCGCCGCCCCCCCCGGCTGCCCCAGGCTGAGCTGGGGTCGCAGCCAAGCCCATACTGTTCCATTTGGCCCCATTCCGGCCCCAGTTATCGGCAGCTCCTCGGCTGGTCACATTTTCCACTGAGCAGTGTTTGTGTTTGAGCGGTGACTGGGAGGAGGGGAGGGACCGCGGCAGAAGGGCAGGGACCCCCAGGTTCCCACCATGGTGAGGGGGACGGGCTGGGGGGAAGGGGGTTATGGAGGTGGGGATGGGATTGGGATTCCAGCCCAGGGAGGCAGCTCTGTCCAGGGATGGGAGCACTACAAGGGGATGGGATTGGCATGAGGATGGGAGCAGCAGCTGGACTGGGAGCATGGACTGGGGTGAGCACATGGCCTGGAGATGGAGCTACCCAAGGGGACATCACCTGGAGGGGGAGCATCCCCTGGCGGTGGAGGGGACAAGGCAGGGATGGGAGCACTTCTCAGGGCTGGGAGCAGCACCCGGGATGGGAGCAGGGCTCAGGGGGGCACATCACCTGGAGATGGAGCGGTACCCAAGGACATCACCTGGAATGGGGCTGTAGAAAGAGCACCTATGCACGGAAGTGGTACCTGGGGATGGGAGCAATGCCCAGGGATGGGAGCAGTACCCAGGGATGGAGGACCGCAGGGATACAGTGCAAGCATTGCCTGAGCCTAACCCCCTGCTCCCCTTCATCACACCCTTGAGCCCCACAGTGGGTCACCTCCCTCCTCATCCTCAGGCCGTGGGAGCCCCCGGGGGAGCAAATGCCCCCATTTGGGGTTCATCCCAGGGCCAGGGCTGTGGGGCCCAGTGGGTTCCTCGAGCACGTTGGCTGGGCCGTGAGCACCAGAGGGACGTCACGAGGCCAGATCCTCGCCCTGCTTCCTCGAAGGAGCCGCCACTGCTGCTGCTGCCAGGGTGATGCTGGCGGCTCAGTGATGATCTACTTTCTCTCCTCCAGGCCTCTCCTGCTCCAGCATCCCTCCGGCATTCCTCCGGCATCCCTTCGGCCGGGCTTGGCCCCAGTGCAGAGCCAGCGTCGATGGCTTCCTGCGGAGGTGGAGGAATTTGGCACCTGGCCCTGGGCTGGAGCCGAACACCGCCAGCAGTGTGTCCACCCGGCACCCACGGCGGGAGAGCATCCCACCAGGAACAGGAAAGAGGGTCAGGTGCCACCACGGAAGTGGATGGCATGAGGGGAGGCCCATGTGGGCCTGTCTGTGGGCGCACACGCATGACACAGGCATGTGAGTCTGGCTGGGGCTGATTCATGTGCCTGTGTTACATGTGTGTGTGAGTAGGGGTTGCACGTGCTGGGGTTGCACATGCAGGGCCTTCACCCAAGTCTATGTGGAGGGATGGAGAAGGGATGGAGGGGGTAGAGGGATGGAGGGATAAATAAATAAATACAGGAGTGTAAA